TGCAGCCCCACTGTCGCTGCTGCTGCTGCTGCTGCTTTAGTTTGTTTTGTATCTGCTGCAGCAGCAGCAGCAGGAGCAGCAGCAGCAGCAGCTCGTGCTGACGCACCCTGCAGCAGCCCCAAGACGCCGAGGGAAGCAACAGCTGCTGCTGCTGCAGGTGGAGACATCTGCAGCAGCAGATTAGGGCTTTGCTGCTGCTGCTGCTGCTGCTGCAGCAGCAGCAGCAGATGTTTTACTAGTGGTAGCTGCTGCTTCTGTCTCAGCGGCAGCGGTGCAGCAGCAAGCTGCTGCAGCAGAGGAACTACACCTTCTAGCCATATTATGTTTACACAGACACCTGAATCTGCTGCTGCTGCTGCTGCTGCTGCTGCTCTTGCTGTTGCTGTTGTTGCTGCTGCTGCTGCTGCTGCTGTGTGCTGCTGCAGCAGCAGCAGCGCCTCGTTGCAGAGGCCCACCAAATACTCCTTGTGATAAGTAGAGGATTCAAACGAAGACAATCCCCCTCCTGCTGCTGCTGCTGCTGCTGCTGCTGTTGCTGCTGCTGCTGCTCCTGGTTGTGCTGCTGCTGCTGCTTGCGCGTTTGCTGCTGCAGCACGGACGGACAGCAGCAGCAGCTGCTGCTTCAAGGAGATAGGGGAGAAGACAGAGGATGTGTAGACACCTGCAGAGGCTGCAGCAGCCTTCTGGTTGCTCTTGCTGCTGCTGCTGCTGCTGCTGCTGTTGTTGTTGCTGCTGCTGATGCTGATGCTACTGGTACTGGTGAAGAACCTGCTGCTGCAGCTGCTGCAGCGGGAGCAGCAGCAGCTGCTGCTGTTGAAACAGCTGCTGCTGCTGCTGATCGAACGCCTGCGGCCGCTGCAGCAGTTGCTGCTGCTGCTGCTGACGCCCCAAAGAGGCAACTGCAGCAGCGAGGATGCAGCAGCAGCAGGAGCAGCGCGGGGAGCAGCAGGAGCAGCAACAGCAGTCAGACCAGCGGGGGCAGCAGCAGCAGAGGCTGCAGCAGTCAACGCAGCAGCAGCAGAAGTAGTATTAGCAGGAGGAGCAGCAGCAGTAGCAACAGGAACAGCAGCAGCAGCAGCAGCAACCGCAGCAGATGCTGCCCTGTGTAGCATCTCGTTGCAAGCCCCTGCACTACAACCTCCCTATACACCTGAAACTAAACTTTATTAAAAACAAAATAAAACAAGAAGAAAAAAAAAACAGCAGCAAGGAGGCGGTGGGTTTCAGGTGTATCGACAGCTCCAGACCAACCAACCTAAACCCTAAACCCTAAACCCTAAACCCTAAACCCTAAACCCTAAAACTGAGATTATATGAAGGGTTTATCTAATTAAATAAAAAACTAAAAGCTAAAAAAGAATAAATTAAATATATATTTTTTATATTTCCGTTTTTAAGCAGAAATAAAAAAAAGAAAAAAGAAGAAACAAAGCGAGCAGCAGAGGCGCGTGTATCGACGAAACCGAGAACCAAATAAAATAAACAAAAAAACAAAAAAACAAACAAATAAATTAAATAAATTAAACAAAAAGAACAAATATAAATTTTATTTTTTTATTTTTTTTTATTTTTTTTTATTTTTTTTTATATAAAAGAGAAAACCTGAATTTC